GGGAACTTCCTGGTTCCCGGGCTCGGCGTCGCCGGGATCCTCTTGGAAGGGAAACAATGGGGTGGAGGGCACTGCGGTAGCCGCCGCCGCCGCGCCGGGACCTGCTCTGCGGCCCGGGACGCCCCGTCTGCCCGCCGCGCACAGCCTCTGCCGACGGGACAGTCCTGAGGTAACTTCCTTTCCCTGGCATTCCGCGCAGGTGCCCGCACGGCGCCGACGCTCCCCGAGGTTTTTCTGACCCCCCACCCTGCGGCCCGGCGGTGACTTGGTGTTGGCCCCGGGGGAGCCGGACGCCGCCATTCCCGGACCCGGGAGGAGGTGGACAAGGCGGAGGCTCCCTTCTCCTTAGCCCTGGAGGGGGGCGTTCTCTGGGACCGGGGTTCCCGGGATCGTGCGCGGGGCTGTGCGCTCCGCGGTGCCCCCTTGGAACCTTGGTTTTAGGGTTCTGCGGCTGTGATTGGCAGCTGGGCGGGCGCCAGTGGGTGGGGGGGCGACGGGGCGCTCCTGCGGGGCTGGGGGTCCGCCCCCCCGGGACCCGGCCGGCTGGGGACGTGAGGGTGGACGCTGCGAGGCCGTGGGCGGGGCCTGCGTTGACCAGATCCTGGGGGAGGTGCAGCGGACCGCCCCCCTCCCCCTCCCCCAGCGCAAGTTTCGGTCCCCGGGGAGACGTGTCTCCAATGCAAGTTTCAGTTGCGTCCTCTAGGGACCCAGTGGGCAGGCCTGAAGGAGAAAACTTCTTTCTTTGTAAATTACTGCCTCGACGCCACGGAACTTTGTTTCGTTCAGGCCAGGAGAGGATGTTAAGTTCACGGTCTGGGAAAGCGGGCTGAGGGATCGGGAAGACTTGGAAATCTGAGCGTCTTTGCAAAGTTTGTGGTGGGGGAAAAAAAAGTAGTTAGGATAGTTAGCAACCAGCAACTGTCGCTGTGAGTGGCGGTCGACTGGATAGGTGGCAGTGAGTTTTTTTGAGTTGAATTACCGTCGAGTGGTGTGGCGTTTCTAATGGGCGAGAACGGTGTACCTTGGCTATGTTACCACCAGAAAATGCAAGAAATCCATAAATCAACCACGAAGCATGTCTATAATTTGAAGATGAATCCGTCTCTTTTCTCTCTCCTGTTTACTTCTTAGGTGTTTTTTTAGACGACAGTAATGTGCTCTTTGCATAATGGCACCGAGAAAGATTGTTGACCTATGACAATGCCCAGTCATTGGAAATCGTGTAACCGCACTAGTGGACAAGTGGCCACGCTGTGTTAAATGCATTACTTGCTGGCGTTTTGTTTGCTAGAGGAAGGCGATTTCAGACGTATGTTAATTCTGTTATACAGATAGATATCCAATACTTCATAGCTCAGACAAGTTGGGAAGAACTTTAGAGATCATCCTCCTGTATTGACTCTCTGGAAAGTTCTGTCAGTGGGAGGCCAGGGTACTTTCCCCTTTTGTTGAGCAGTTTTAATAAGGATTAACAAATTACCTAGAATCAGATGAAGAGTGATATATTTAGGTACTTTTTTTCACTCTGTCAGAGTGAAGTTAACAAAAATATTTCCAAGATGGCTTTTATAGAATGCGTAAATATGGCCTAGTTTATTACTTAAAATGGATGATGTGTTCTACATGTTATTGTGTGTACTGTAGGGTCTTTAAGGCTGTGATCAATCTTTAGGAAGTAGATGACTGCATCCATCTCCTGGCTGGTGGTTTCCAACAGTTGACCTTCCTATTTGCAAATGACCTCCTGACCACTTTACCACCAGGACACCATGTTGATGTGGCCACTTGTTTGCCAGTGCCATTGGTGTTGCGTTCTCTCCAATGATTGGTCATTGGCCCAGGTTAACCATCTTTCCCAATCCGTTTATGCATAGAGCACATTAAAGTTGACTGTCTGAAAGCATCTATGAAATAAACAGGAGGGGAAAAAAGAGGATGAGTACTCTAAATTACTCATATAACTACCGTATATCCTCGAGTGTAAGCCGACCCGAATGTCTGCTGAGGCACCTAATTTTCCACAAAAACTGCATAAAAAATGTGTCGAAAACTCGATTTATATTCAAGTATATACTGTATATTGATAGTCTATATAACCCATAGAAATATATTCGTAGTCTATATAACCCATTGCTGTAGAGTTGATTCTGACACATAGTGACCCAATAGGTCAGAGTGAAACTGCGCCATAGGATTTCCAAGGCTGTAATTTTTATGGAGGAGTCCTAGTGGCATGGTGGTTACATGTTGGGTTGCAAACTGCAGAGTCATGAGTTTGAAACCACCAGTGGCTCCTAGGAGAAAGAGGAAGTTTCTACTCCTGTAAAGAGTTACAGGTGCAGACACTCAGGGGGGCAGTTCTTCCCTGCCCTGTAGGTGGAGGGTATGAGTTGGCATCGACTTGATGGGAAAGAGGTGTTTTTTTTAAATCTTGTGGTACATAATCTGATGTCAGTTTGCTAAGGAGTGGAGTCTAGGTTTGTCAATCAGGTCACTTCTTGATGACCTCATTTAGAGGGGCCCAGAGACAAATAGCTCACTGGAGGCCAGATACACACAGAATCTCTGCTTGTCTCCCTGTGAGACATTCCTGTTGACAAGCCACATGGAGCCATGCTGCTGACAGCCAGAGTCCTGGAGCTTACTTTTTGATATAAAACTCTTTCTTACACATATTTGAGTCCCCCTGGATTTGTTTCTCTAGTCCACCCGGACTAACACAAATCTTAATGGAGAAGGAGTCCTGGTTGCACTGTCCAGTAAACTAACTGCTAGCAGTTCAAACTCACCAGCTGCTTCAAGGGAGAAATATTTACATAGGGTCACAGTGGTTTGGAACCAACTTTGTGGCAATGGGTTTTGTTTAATGTTTAGAGATGTATATCTTCTCCTTGGAGAGCATGGTGGGATTGAACCATCAACCTTTCAGTTAGCAGCCTCATGCACTGCTTGTGCTCTTCATACTGACGGAAATCCACAGCTGTTGATTCTGACTCACAGCAACCCTGTAGGCTACAGTGGAACTTGTCCCTAGTGCTTCAGAGGTTGTCAGTCTTTATGGAGCTGAGGCTGTGAATCACTCTTCCCCAGAACCACTGAAATATCTTCTACCAGGACTTCCTTGCAAAGAATCCATTATCCTCTAATTCCATTTTTCCACAAGCTTTTTGAGGTCTATCTTATTCGATACAGACAAACATTTGACTGGCATTGGATAGAAATTGTACTTAAGTGCCAATTTATGTACAAATTCTACTTACAGTCCAATCTAGAAACAAACCCATTTGTAATTTAGGGACTGCCGGCACAAGGTCTAAAGTTAGTAGGCATTCTTTTGCTGATGATACCTTTAAGTAATTAATGAGTTATCTCTAAAGCATCAAAGAAAATCATGTGCTAAACATTAAGAATTTGGTACTTGAATTATAATGTTGATGCCTACTTAGTGTTTTAGCTAGCTCTCAGACCTTGGTTGTACATTTTTTATTTAAGGACAGCCCATTACCAGATTTTACAATGTCTTGACGTTTTTGGTTGCCTTGAAGTGATTCTGACTCATTGGGTAGACATGCAGTTAACTCATAGTAAGACACCTACCATTGGTTAAACACACCAGCCAGAAGTGGCAGCTTTGGAACCATCTTTAATTGATCACTCTCAAGCATTGATTGGGAACCAGGATAACTCCCTGCTACAGTGACCCAGTATGGCCCAACAATGCTAAGTATCAGTTGGCTGTGGTCATTCTTTGCTACCATGTGGCATCCGTCTCAGTTGGGACCAGTCAGTTCAAGTTATTAGCAATTGAAAGCAAACACAATCACTTTGGTTAAAAAGTATTGGCGGGGAAATAGATCTATGGGCCTATATTTATAGGTTTAGTATTAAGGTAGCAGAAGGACATTGGGCCTCCACTCAAGTACTCCCTCAATGCAAGAA